TTGTTTTAAATTTTCAAAATTTTTTTCTTATTTTTGGACATGCTGTCTTCTTGAATGAAGATGAGATTTTTTTTTTTTTTTCACCTTCAATTATCTCTGTTTCCTCCTGGGTAATTTTCTGTTTAGTTGTTTGTTTTTCTTGATCTCTCTCTTGCTGGCTTTTTTCAGAAGGCTTTCATGGTAGTCCTTGGTTGTCCATATTTAAGAGTAAAGCACTGAAAAACCTAGTGGGAACTACAGTCACTTGGATTGTTAACATCACGCTTTGGAGCTGGCTGTTGTGCTTTGTGGAAATTCTTAATGCCAACATGCAGAAATCTTTTCTCTGTAGCTACTTATTTTTTCAAGAAGGGAAATCTCATTTTTTTCTATGCCCCTTTTTCCCCCTTTGGCCAGAGAAGAAGTGGCAGCATGGCACCAGGGTTAGAGAAATAGACTGTTCTACAAATGGACTTTGAGTTAACTCTGACTTCCAGCTCCAGATTTCATTTGCTGAAATTTTGGTTTTCTTAAATATATCTCTCTCTTTCGTTCTCTTTGTTGTAGGATATGTGTACCTTTTTATAATTTGGTGTGTTCAGTTTGACTTGTTTACCTAGAAATCCTCCCTCACATATTTTGAATAGAGTCTCTTTCTAAACACCTGTCAGACAGATACAGAAAAGTGATGAGCGACTAGAACTGGATTATATTAATATAAGGTAGAGTTGAAGATAGATCATTCATGTATTTTCTTTCAGTAAACATTCAGCACCTTGTTATGTCAAACTATGTACCCGGTTCTGGATGAGCCTCTTAGTATTCTCTATGATTAGGTATAGAACATTTTTAGGAGATTTCTATGTCTGTAATACCTAATGAGCTTCTCCAGTGGTTAAAGTCTTATTCTCTTTTGCATGTGCACTAGGATAAACTCTAGGGATGTGGCTGTCTGTGTCATTGGAGTAACTGTTTGATTTCCTTAAGAAATGGAATAGAGTTCAGATGTGTGGGAGTTATCAGTTTTATTGACCTCCAGAAACTTACTAGAGGTTGTGTATTTGTTGGGTCTCCAGTTTAACCTAATAGAATTATATTGAGAAAAAGAAATTTAGGAATATAAGGCAAATTGTGAAAGGTAGTGGCATTAAATTTGTTTTAACATGCCGAGAGGATATTTTCAATGTGGACTTTAAGATTACAGAGAAATCCAAAACAAATGAGTTTTGACATATTCTTTTCTTTGAACATTCAGAGTGACATGGATTCATGGGCATGTTGACCCTTTACTGGCCTTAAATGAGAGCTTCGAGTGAATATTCCTTTAGGAAATATCTTGATATTTTATTTTCCTCTCGGTCTTTTTCATCGTGTTTTAGGACAGGGAGGTTATGTGTTCTTTTTTCCTTAGTCTAGAAGATTTTTTAAAGTATTTTTTCTTAGGCTATTTATGGATGAATTTATACCTTTTGTTTGGTCTTTTTCAGTTGATTATATGATTACATGTACTCTAAGTTTTCTTATTAAATTTAATTTATCATTTCCTCCCTAGTTTCACGATGGAAAAATGTGTCTGATATTGTTGAATGACTGACATCAAATATTGTTCTACAGCAGTTTAAGTCTTTGTACAATATTTTATCATATGTATACACACGCATACATTCTCTCTCTCTCTCTTTCTCTGTTGATAGACTTTGAGGTTTCCTCTAATTCTTGTGTCTTGTTTGACCCTTTATTGAAATCCTTGGCAGCTAAATTTTTGTTCAGAGCGATTTCTTGATTAAAAAATATCCATGATTTTAAGGCTTTTGATGCATACTCTAGAGTTGTTCTTCAAAAAGATTATACCCATTTATTAGTAAGGTTAATCTAGTTTCTTTTCTCTATTATTTTGCTAGTATTGAGGTAATACTGTGAGTATAATTTTATAGTTTACTTTTTTCACTAAGTATTTTGTGACCATCATCTGGTATCTCTAAAAGTTCTATTTCAGTACTCTTTTTAAAATTAATTTTTAATTTATTTTTTGAGATATAATTCACATAACATAAAGTTCACCGTTTTAAGGTGTACAATTCAGTGGTTTTCTTTGTCTCTTCACTATGTTGTGTAACTCCTGCCGATAGATAATTGCAGAACATTTCCATCAACTCAAAATGACATATGCACCTCTCAGCAGTCATTCCCAATTCTCCTTACCTCCATTCCCTGGCAACCACTGCTATAATGTACTTTCTATCTCTGTGGATTTGCCTATTCCGGACATTTCATTTAAACGGAATCATATAATACAATATATGGCTTTTTGTGTCTGGTTTCTTTCACTTAGCATAATGTTTTCAAGGTTCATCCATGAAGTAGCATGTAACAGTACTTCATTCCTTTCAGTGTCCTCTTTATGGCTGCATTATATTTATCACATAGTGATTCAATAATTTACCTAATGCTCTTATTTTAAACATTTTTTTCCTATATTACCCTACACCAGGATATTTCTATGTATAATTTTTACATGTAAATTTCAAAGTATATTCTTATCATGGATTCCTAAAAGGAAATTTATTATGTCAAAGGTTATGACTCTTAATGCTCTTGTTTCCCTTGACCAAATTATTTTCCAGAAAGCTTATATGAATTTAAACTCCTAACAGTAGGGTAAATGATATTTTGTCTCACTTTAACCTCTTTAATGTTTAGAGTTATTGACTTTATTGCTAATTTGATGGTTTAAAAGATTAGTTTTAATTTTTATATCCTTATTATTGGTAAAGTTGAACTTTTTTTCATAAGCTTATTAGTCATTTGAATTTCTTTTTGAAATTTCTATTTATGTCTTTTTTTTTGTCTATAGAGTCCTGTTTTCCTTTTGTTTGAACTTTTTATTAATATATGTGAAGGAAGTTTGCAAGTTTTATTTGTTGAAAATTTTTTACTTGTCTTTTGATTTTGTTTTATACCTTTCGAAGTATAGAAATTTTAATTTTTATCATACAGTTAAATTTTTAAATTTAAAATAAAACCTCAATTAACTATTCTCTTTGGAATTCCCTTTGTTATACAGTGCGCCTTTTTATTGTCATTGTTTTTTTACAGACAGCTACCTGTTCATTCCAGCACATTTAAAAAATAATCCTTTTCTTTTCTCATTAATCTGTGATGCCTCGTTTATAATTTATTGCATTCATACATTTATGAGACTCTGAGGCTCAGTTGTCTATTTTGTTTCATTTTTTTTTTTAATTCCCAAGTTCCAATTAATTAGACTGAGGTAGGATAGTACACTGTTATCTGTATACCTGTGCTTGAGGGTCAGGTGGGCCTTTATTAAGTAATCAGGCAGAGCTGGGATTCACTCTGTATTTTGGGGAAACTGACTTGAACTTTCTATGCCTCATTTTTTCCCCCTGTCTACAAAAAGGGATAATAAAAAACACCCACCCTAAAAGGATGTTTTGAGGATTAAAGAAACAATGCCTACTAAGTGAGCATCCTTGCACATTTAATAAATGCTCAATGAATGCTGGCTGTTAAGACAATGATGGTAATTTCATATTGCACGTTAGTATCTGGTAGGACTCCCCTTTTTCAAAATTCTCCTAGTCATTCTTACATATTTAGTTTTTCTGAATTAACTTTAGATTCATCTTTTTTTTTTTCATTCTCCCAAAAACCATTTCAATAGGATTATAAATTAATTTGGGGGGAACTGACAATAATATTCAATGTCTCCATCCAGAAACTTGGTATTTCTCACCCTTTATACCAGTTTTCCTTTTGTTTGAACTTTTTATTAATATATGTGAAGGAAGTTTGCAAGTTTTATTTGTTGAAAATTTTTTACTTGTCTTTTGATTTTGTTTTATACCTTTCGAAGTATAGAAATTTTAATTTTTATCATACAGTTAAATTTTTAAATTTAAAATAAAACCTCAATTAACTATTCTCTTTGGAATTCCCTTTGTTATACAGTGCGCCTTTTTATTGTCATTGTTTTTTTACAGACAGCTACCTGTTCATTCCAGCACATTTAAAAAATAATCCTTTTCTTTTCTCATTAATCTGTGATGCCTCGTTTATAATTTATTGCATTCATACATTTATGAGACTCTGAGGCTCAGTTGTCTATTTTGTTTCATTTTTTTTTTAATTCCCAAGTTCCAATTAATTAGACTGAGGTAGGATAGTACACTGTTATCTGTATACCTGTGCTTGAGGGTCAGGTGGGCCTTTATTAAGTAATCAGGCAGAGCTGGGATTCACTCTGTATTTTGGGGAAACTGACTTGAACTTTCTATGCCTCATTTTTTCCCCCTGTCTACAAAAAGGGATAATAAAAAACACCCACCCTAAAAGGATGTTTTGAGGATTAAAGAAACAATGCCTACTAAGTGAGCATCCTTGCACATTTAATAAATGCTCAATGAATGCTGGCTGTTAAGACAATGATGGTAATTTCATATTGCACGTTAGTATCTGGTAGGACTCCCCTTTTTCAAAATTCTCCTAGTCATTCTTACATATTTAGTTTTTCTGAATTAACTTTAGATTCATCTTTTTTTTTTTCATTCTCCCAAAAACCATTTCAATAGGATTATAAATTAATTTGGGGGGAACTGACAATAATATTCAATGTCTCCATCCAGAAACTTGGTATTTCTCACCCTTTATACCACTTTTCCTTTTGTTTTTACAAGATTTACTGATGTTTTCTTTTTAGAGGTCCCATATGTGTTTTTGGTAAACGAATTTTAGGTATTTTGATTTTGTTAATATGAATAGAATCTTTTTTGTTATATTTTTAAATAAATTGTTGCTAGTAGTTCTATATTCTGTTAGCATTTGTTGACTTATTTTGTCATTCTACATATAAATTATTATCAGATATTTAGATGTTTTTGCTCTTTCCTATTTCTTGCTTGTTGATTATCTTGTTTTTTTCTTTCTGAAGATTATGATTTCTATTGTTCTTTCATTAAAATTTACCTTTGTTCCTTTTTTACCTAACTTTTGTCATTTAGGTAAAAACAGATGACATAGCAAGGATTTATCAGCCTAAGCGTTACGCTTTGTCACCCAAGACAACAATTACAATGGCACATCTGCTTGCTGCTCGTGAAGATCTATCCAAGATCATTAGAACAAGTAGTGGCGCTAGCCGGGAGAAGACGGCATGTGCCATTAATAAGGTTGGTGTTTCTTTCAGCACAGTGGAGAATGGATTGATAATATCTTCATTTGATGTTTTTACAGATTTTAATCCACATTCTTTTTGTGACCTGGTAAACTCCTAGAAGAGAGTGGCAGAGGGCGTTCAGTATATTAGGCTTGGTTATGTTTTTTGTGTGTGTATTCATTTATTAAATCAAATTTTTATCTGAATTAGAGGAATTAAGAATTGTTTTTATCGATAGCTTTAGCAAGAATTATCTTCCTTCTTCCCAAAAAATAATCATTTTTTTTTTTTTTTTTGGTCAGTAAGAATCTTTAGGAATTGTTTCAGGTACTGACAGACTCCTTATATCCTTGGTGTAAAGGTTAGAAGAGTACATGCTTTGGAGTCAAACTAATCTGGGTTCACAGTCTAGCTCTATTATTTTCTTAGAGGAATCCCCCTGGGCAAGTTACTGAATCTCTTTGAGCTTCTGTTTCCTGATTTGTAGTATAAATCTATTTCTCTGACAGTGGTCTTAAGTTAAAAAAGCTCAAGGAGTGTGAATTTTTTTACTTTACAACAGCAATAACACTAATATAATCTAGAATGTTAATGTCAGCTCAGCTAGCATGTCCTCTCTATTTAGGTAGAGCACTTCATGACACACCTTATTGCAAAAGAGCAAAAAATCAGAAGTAAGGGATTTGGATAATTTTCAAGCATCATTTCTTACTCAGTGTAACTTGAGATAGGATAATTGTCAGAGGAACGGTTGTTTTTAAAGTCAGTTTACTAATTATTGCTAAGTTAGGAATCACTATTGTTTGCCTCTGTGCTTCCATTTTGGATCGACCCCCTCTATCTTCTGAAAGTGTTCTTTCTTTAAATGTGTTACTTAATATCTTGCCTTGGGTTGTAATCTAGTCTTGCTGGATTAAGAGTTCCACTTCTTTAAGTGACATTGCCTATCTCTTTTTTGAGTTTATAATTTGTAGTCTGATTATTTGAAGGTAATCTTATGATCACTTCTTGGAGCAACATTTCCATATGCCCACCAATATATCATTTTTGGTAGAGACCAGTGAGAATAACAATCAAGAAAGGGTATTTTTTGGATTTGTTAGTTAGGACATTATTGCTGACTTTAAAAGAATGTTTGCATATTTAGAACCTACAGTGAGGATGTTCTACTTTTTGTCTTTCATGTATGACATAAATTCCTAAATATGGTTTTGATTAGATGATTAATGGAATTGGAACCTAACTGATTCATTGGTTATTTTGGCTGAGGCAGTTACTGTTTTACCTTGTTTCCAAAAAGATACTAGAAAGAAGCTATTGGCTTCCCCTTGGCTGGGGTGGGCAGGCTTTCTATCTTTCCCTCTGCTCATGGGCTTATAAAAGTAGCTCCTTTCTACAGAAGTTTGGATGCTCAAACTAAACTCTTCCCTGGTTTATTTTTCAAAGCTTTGTAAAGCATGGTTAAGGAAGTATATCAACTCTTTATTTTCCTTATAATAATGTAGTAACTAGTATCATCAAAGTAAGTGAGCTTAAGTTTCTCAAAAGAAAGAAATATTTGAGAATCCTAATATCTCTTTTCAGTGATAACCTGGGATTAATTATAGTTATTAATCTCTGACCTCATTACATCCCCATGTTATCATATATTCCTCATACTTTGTTGAAATTGTGCTGAGGATTCAGTCTTTTATTGGATTATCCATTACCAAATCAATGGAATGGAAAGTCCAGAGTTGTATAGATGGATATGAAGTTAATTAATGTAGGGTATGTAGTTTGTGAATATTCAAAATGTTTTATGAAGAAACATTTCTTAGATGGGTACTACATTTGTAATGAATTTGCTAAACAAATTTAAATGAGAGAAAATTAACAAGCCCTTAAATTTCAGAATACTCCCCCAGATTATTTAAAAATAATACCATTCTGAGGAATTTGTCATATATCACACATTTTTTTTATATTTCCTTTTTTAAATTTATTTTTTTAATACCTACTAATCGTACATACTTACAAGATACATACATATTGATATATACTGATCAGATCAGGGTAACTGGCATATCCATCATGTCAAATATTTATCATTTCTTTGTGTTGGGAACATTCAATACCCTTCTTCTAGCTATTTGAAAATATATATTATTGTTAGCTATAGTCAGCCTATACTGCTATAGAACACTATAACTTACTCTTCTTATCTAGCTGTAATTTTGTAACCTTTGACAAATCTCTTTCTATCCCCCCGTGCTTGTATTTTTAATATTAATTTGTACTGCTATGTTCAATACTTTCATGTCCTTAAATATTTGGCTTATTAGAAACAATAACTTTAATATCACTGGAAACCTTTATGTAAATTTTAATTTTTAAAATATTAGGAACTAAAAGAAAATTTTTCTTCACACAGGTGCTGATGGGAAGGGTGCCTGACAGGGGAGGACGGCCAAATGAAATTGAACCACCACCCCCCGAAATGCCCCCTTGGCAAAAGAGACAAGAAGGCGGCGGAAGGGGTGGTTGGGGTGGTGGTGGTGGTGGAGGTGGTGGTAGAGGAGGAGGTGGTGGGGGTGGAAGAGGTGGCTGGGG